AACACAGGTACCGGCTGAATCATCCGCAAGACCGCAAGAGACTAGCAAATCCTTGGGCAGCTGGAGAGGTGTCTTCCATTGGGAGGACTGCCTCATAGACCCACCTCATCAGCTGGTCTCATAAATCTGCCACACCAGCTGGTGTCATAAACCTGCCACGTCAGCTGCTACGCAAGCAGAGCCGCCGGTCAAACCTGTCTTGAAAAGCTGACGTGTCATTGTCTGACCTCTGCTACCTCTCAAGAAGAGGGTGTGACCCAGACCGTGTGTCGGTTGGTATCATTATTTCATAGTTCACATCCTCATGGAATCAGGGGGTCGAAAGAGAAAACAAAAAAGATGGATCCAATTATTCCAATAGTGTCAGGGCCCTTAGGGGATACCCCCGTTTCATGCTTGTAAAATGCAGGGTGGAGAAAAGGGGGGGGGGCGGGGGGGGGCGCCCGGGTTACAAGGAACTTGTCATCCAAAGATGCTTACCGCATGCAAGTCTACAACAAAGAATAAGGCATCGTATTCATCCTGCACAAAACAACAAAAGCAGAAGAACAATCAATAATCAATTGACAATTTGACACCCACACCTGCTTTCACTCAGAGGTCCAGCATTGTGCAGAAAAGCAAGGGGGGTTGTTGCCTTCTGAGAGACGTGCGCAATTTCTTTCCCCACTTACGTTCTCTACTGTGAACTTATGGAACTGAAAAATTGTGAGGAAACTTGAGACATGATGGACATCTGGTTTTGTTGGGACAATGGACATAAACAAGTGAGAGTTGCATTTGCATCTAGGTGCCTGAGAGCTGGAAGGAGTAGCATCAATCAGTACAGATCATACACGCAAGTGCACACCATGCGGGCTGCACACTTACCGCGCACGAGCACACCAGATCTGTTAGGCGCAGGGGGAAGATCGGCACCCAGAAAAAAAAAAAAAAAAAAAAAAGGGTCGCAGGCCTGGATCAGTGGTCACTTGGGCTCCCTTCAAAAATTTGTGACAGGATGAGAAAAAAAAAAAAACAAGTCGGGAGTGTAATGTCAGTCAAGGCTGCTGTCTCATGCCCAATGGGACAAAAAGGAAAATTTGCACGACTGTACTTGAACAAGATTTGTTCATTAGGTAGCACAATTTTTTTTTTTTTGGTTATAACTTATAAGGCTAATTCTTTAAGCCCAACCAAATCAATTACCTGTCAAATCTGGACAGGACGGCCTTTTTTATTGTCATTATAGTATTATTATGGGGATCCCCGTAGTAAAAGGGCCTTTACCCGTTCAGACCCTGAATGGCCAACACAGGATAATGGGGCCCACTCGGCCAGAACTCAATTCGTGAAAAGAAGATCAAAAGACATGTTCTCTGGGTCAAAAGTCACATCCTAACCGAAGTGAGGAGTTTTGTCAAAGGTCACAGTCGTGCCCCAGGACGAACAGTTGCAGCATTCAATTGTGAGAGTCACATCTGTCCGTCCAGGGGGCTGTGCAAGTCATGTCTGTTCATGCAGTAGATCTGTCTGTTCGTGCAGAAGTTGTGTCTGTTCGAATGGAAGTCAGTGAGGTAGAGTCCCAGTCCAAGTCAAAGTCCAATAGGCAGTCGAGATTCAGACCCAAAGTCCAAAAATCTGGCCTAAAGACCGCAGCAGCAGCAGACCCTGAAGGAAAGGTACGGGGACACATTCTGCAGTGGTCTGGAACTGGGGAAAGACCCAAGGAAGATTGATTCAGACCTCGTGAAGGGAGGCCAGCACTATAAGAGACTAGGCCAGCCTCCCCACACGACAGATCTCCACTGGCACTGATGCGTAGAAGTGCTGAAGCAGTTGTGCGCTAGCATGCGGGGAGAATGCGCTGGCTGGAAGCTGCGCAAGCAGAGGAAGAAGAGGCTGGGCGCTGACTGGCAGAAGCAGCCATAGCTGCGCCAGCATTAATAGTAGAAGTAGAGGGGTTAGTAGTAGTCACCAGTGAGTAGCATTCAGAGTAGATCCTCATCAATAGGGGGTGAGCATTCAGAGTAAGACAAGGGAACCAAGACAGGGATCTCGAGAGAGTGAGAGAGAGAAGAAAGGTTGAGAAGTTGGATATGGTGGATACTTACCTGTTGGCGCCATACCTGTGATCTGAGGGCAGACTCTGGCTGAGCCAGGCCCTATATTGAGTATGGAACGAAAGAGATTTGTACTCTGTTGGCACTGAACTCTTGGACTCGAGATACTCTTTGTATAATGTTGTTGTGATAGTATGAGCTGCGCTATCTGGTTCTCATCTCATCTCGATTTGGCTTCGTGTGAAGTTTCTCTATCCGTATGATGACATCTATGCATGCAATGAGATACACTCCAGCAAGCTATGAACAGTCAGGTTCCTTGCAGTAGCAGCCACATCCGTGCTCAAGCCTCCAACGAGGGAACATGCGGGAGCTGCACCCACAAGCAGGTGCGACCTCCTACAGCAGGTGGGTGATACCGGCCAGGGGTCAGCCGGTAGTGTCAGGACCGGGCATCTTCGATGGGCCAGTCACTGTGCCTCCCCTCCGGTCCCCTCACCCTATGAACATCAGCAGTCTCTGCCCAATGCCACTCGGGGGGACCAACAACATATCTTTAGGTGGAGGGCGCCAAGCTTGCCCAGGAAGGTACATGAGGCCAAAGGGGATTGAACCCAAGACCTCCTGAATGCCACTTGCGTGCCTTACCAACTGAGCTAGGCCGCTGGATGTAGCACAGTTTTCTGTGTCTATGAAGACAGTGAAACGGTATTCACCTGTTAGCAGTAGCGGATGCAGGTCCCAGGGCTCGATCCCTAGTCCTCACTTTACCTGTGTACAATATCTGTGTCGACCCCGACTGTTTGAACCCGTGACCTGTATTTTGAGAGTTGTTGTTGTCTGTCGTAGGTCTGTGTAATGGTAGGGGTTCGATCTGTAGATCTGTTAAGTAGGAGTCACAGCCCTGTAGAGGTCGTAGCTGTAGGAATCCTGAAAGGTCAAGGTCGTAGCTGCTACAGTCCTGAAAGGTCAAGGTCGTAGCTGCTACAGTACTCGAAAGGCCAAGTCCACAGACTTCCGGAAGGTCCGGAAGTGGCCTTTCGAAGCTGCCTCACGTTTTAGTCAGAGGCAAGTGGGCAAGTGGTGAGCCCAGCTGCATTACGTCGGCTGTGCGACTGCATTGAGTTGGCAGTGCAAACCCATGCACTCAGCGGTACCGGTCCAGTCAGTCCCAGTCCAGTCAAGCAAGTACCATGAGGGACTGTGTGCACCATAGGCCTGGTGGAGAGGGGCAGACCAACGAGTTAACAGAAGTATAAATCAAGAGGCAGCGCCCAGCCATTCATTCATTCACTGCGTAAGCCATGCGGAAGCGCTGCTACAGCGTCTTGTGCGAAGGTGGTCTGCAGGTTGCCCGAAGACGAAGTGGGCTGAAGGGAGATCGTAGCCATAGCCAGTAGTGGTAGTGCGGCCATAGCCGCTGTAGGAGGAAGTGAGATTAAGTGTGTGTGTGTGGTGGTATTCAGGGTGGTCCAGAGTGAGCATGTGTGAACAGTGGGGTTGGACACAGTGGCGAAGGTTGGGATGTTCAGGCACCGATGCGCCATAGCCTCTTGAAGTGAACTTGCATCTGAACTGTGTTCTTGATTTCCGTATCTCTAAGCTTTGAGTGGGCACCCTGCGCCGGTGTGAATCTCCATCTGTTTGCATGTGTGTGAAGTGGAAGTGAAAGCGAGTCTGATTGCACTGGTATCGGAGCTGGTTCCCGTTACCCCACGCGCCATAGTCGTTGCTGATAGGGAAGGAGGCGCGCGCCATAGCCGAAGTCCGCCATAGCTGCGCTCCGGAAGAAGGTGCCGTGTACCTGCACAGAAGGCTACGGCAGAGAGAGAGAGAGAGAGAGAGAGAGAGAGAGAGAGAGAGAGAGA